TTGCTCATAGTGACACTCCTCACCCACATGGAATCCTCTGGGGTGGATCTGTATCGGATATCCAGCATCAGCACAGACGGTGCCAACGTGATGACTGGCGACAAGAACGGTCTCATCGCACGCCTACGTACCAAGATTCCACACCTCCTCTCTTGCCATTACATCGCACACAGGTAACTTTAGCTTTGGTGGACCTACTTGTACAAGCCTGAATGTCATTGCTAATACGTGTTCTTCTGTGATGTTCAGGGAAGCCCTCTCTGCAAAGGATGTAGCAACGACAATCCCGGACATGCAAGTTGTTGAGAAAGTCGTCCGCTCGCTTGCGGAAGACCTGGGTCGTTCGAGCAACCAACACGGTCGATTCAAGGAGCTGCAGGAAGTTCTTTGCGAGACCAATCTCGAACTGCAAGGAATCCACAGCGTGCGCTGGCTATCGTGTGGTGCGGCGATACATCGGCTTGTGGAGTCCTTGCCTGCCGCGATCATATTCTTGAATGAGTATGATAGCAAGGCGTACAAGATTGTTATCTCCTTCAAGTTTCAGTTCCTGCTATTTCTCTTGAATGATGTTTTGAAGGAGCTCAACATCCTCAACCTCAAGTTTCAAAAGTGGCATGTAAGATTCGAGTTATGGTGATAGCATGTGTTGCACATCAGTCATATGTGTATATGTTAACATGCCTTCTATGTTTCCTTGACAGGTCGATGTCACACACGTGCAGCAAGTGACGGACAACACGAAGATGGCTCTGAGGAGTCGCTACCTGTGCGACGATGACAACTTCGGGCATGGCAGCGAGACACTTCACAAGTTTTTGAAGGAACGGGCGGATCCGAAACGGCATGAGGTTTTGGTGGATGGAATTGATGCAGAAGGGACGCCTGTGAGCCACAAGTACATTCTTCATGAAGACAATATCGAAGGCCAAACCAGCGCCGGGGACCTGACGGCGTGCCTCAAGCTTGCTCGAGATTTTGTCACCGCGCTTCTCGGCAGCATGGACTGGCGCTACAAGGACCTCGCCAGTCTGAGCGGCAGCAAGCTCTTCAAGCAATCACACTACCCACGGTCGCTCAACAAGCAACAGAGGAAGTGCCTCGCATGGCTTCAGATGCTGCGGGACATGTTCAAGCGGAAGCCAGGCTTGCCAGACACTTTACCGGGTGAGGCAATTGTAAAAGATAGCATATTCGTCGATTGTTGTGTGTTATAGCAAGTTCTCCGTTGCGTGTATGTGCGAAGTTCCCGTAAAATATAAGCCCTGCTATAACCCCTTCCCTTCCCTACCTCAGGAGTCAACTGGGCGAAAGCGCAGCGTGAGCTGAAAAACTTCACCACCATCCTCTCCACTCACCACAACGACCTTGAGTTTCAAGAGGGACTGAAGCAAATGCTCTCTACACCCGACTAGACGCACGCATATCCGAACCTTGTGAACCTCTGGATCGCTGTAGTCGTTCTTCCTCTGTCGACGGTCGAGTGCGAGCGCGGATTCTCGCGCTAGAATATCATAAAGAGATGGCTTCGTGGCAACCTCTGCGACACGAAGCTGTTAGGGCTGATGATGGTGTCCCTGCTGAAGTACGACCTGGATTTCCCAGAGTTGATTAGGCTCTGGCGCTGCAGCAAGAAACGCAGACATGCCAAGGAGGTGGTGATGGCTGCGGGCTCAAGGCCGGTGAAGCGCTCCAAGAAGGAAAAGAAAGCCTTGGCGAAAGCGGCAGCAGCATCAGCAGAAGCGGAGGCGGCAACAGTTGCGGCAGCAGTAGCAAAGGAGAGCGCCAGGGTGGAAGCTGAGGAAGGTGGATGGCAGAGCAGGGGCAAGACCAAGGCTTCAGCTCCCTTGGACTTGGACAACCCCTTCGATGAAGAGGTTACTGTAGAAAGCAGCAGCAGCAGCAGCAGCAGCAGCAGTAGTGATAGTAGTGACTCAGAGTAAGCTTTCGTCCTTCCTCCCTCAGTAGTGATTCTAGTATGTCTGCTGTGTGTCACAAGTGGTATTTTTTTATTAGAACGCAATGAAAGTTCTAAACACAAGTAAAATGTATGGTATACATACAGACAGGGCTCTGGTCTGGTCTGTTGTTCGTCTGAATTCCCAGACTAGGACTTCTGGTTCGTCTGATTTTACAGACCGCCAAGAGTTGCTCATATTTTGCTCAGACGAAAAATTTTCAGGGACTTAGGTTTCAGACGGGCCTAAATCCTAGCCAGAGCCCCGCGTGCGACTCCGAACGGTTACAAACTGCTCGGGAAGAATCCTCGCCACTACTGCTGCATGATGCTGTCCGCCCTGATGGTCCAGATGCTCTGTAACCGTACGACCCTTCGCGTCATTCTGCCTGTTTGTCTTCAACCTATTGCGTACTTCATTTGCTGCTGTCAGGAGTGCACAATAATACTTCATCTTTTACTATTCGTAACAACCCCCTTCACTCCTGGCCGTAGCAGGTCTTGACTTGCTTGACTACTCCGCTCAGTTCGGAACAGTGCTGGTACTGCAGACGTGACAGCCGCTTCGTGAGGAAGTCAGCTGCCATGTCATCCGTCGGGCAGTAGGTTAGGAAAACCTTGCCCTTGTCAACTTCGTCCTTGAGGAAGAAGTACCGCAGCGCAATGTGTTTGGTGCGGTTGACGAACCCAGGTTTGTTCGCGATCCTAATCGCGCTTTGGTTATCGCAGTGCACGCGAAGGTGGGCGACGATGGATTTTTTGCCTCTTGTAGGTAGAGCCCTTCGCGAACAGCTGCCGTTGCGGCGATGAATTCAGCTTCCGCCTTTGACGGGGCAACCAGCTCTTGTTTCTGCGAATTCCAGGAGATGGGTCCTGTTGGCTCGAGGCGAAACAGGAACCCAGTTTTGGACCGTCGATTGTTGGGGTCGGCAGCGTGATCGGCGTCCACGTAGCCGATGAGGCTGAAGGAGGTGGTTGGGACTGTGGAATAGCAGAGCTCGATATTGGGCGTTGAGATGAAGAATTGTAGGGCCCGCTGAAGATCTAGGAGATTCTCAGCCGTTGGTTTGCGGGAGGACTGGGCCAGCTGGCTCGCGATGTACGAGAGATCGGGCCTGCAGGTAACAGAGGCGAAGAGTAGGCATCCCAGCTGCTGCTGGTAAGTCTGGAGTCCAGTGGGGGATAGGGCTTTGTTGTCAGGCTTGTGGTTGGGTCCTGGAGTGCGGTAAGGGGTGGAGAGTGGTGCTGGTGCGATGTTGAAGCGTTTGCCAAGTTCTTCTGCATACTTGGTTGCCGAGAGGTGAATGGCTTCTGGCGAGTAAGAGATGTTGAGCCCAAGGAACTGCTTCACGTCATGGTTGCAGGTGATTTCAACGCGCCCCGTGAGATTCTTCTCGAACTGCTCAAGCAACTCGTTGCTTGACCCTGTGTAGAGGAGGTCGTTGACGTAGACTGTGATCAGGATGTAATCACCGCGGAAGTCTCGGCGATACATCCCTGGATCGTGAGGCAGCTGCTTGAAGCCTACTTCAAGCAGGATGTTGCGAAGGTACTGCTGCTAGAGCCTTGGTGCCTGATTGATCCCGTAGAGGGACTTTCGCAGCTGGCACACACGTGAGTCTCCTTCCCCGCATGTGTGCGACTGTTCCACGTAGATCACTGCGTCCACCAGCTCGTAAAGGAACGCGTTCTTCACATCGATTTGTCGGAGCGGTAGGTGTCGGGCGGCAGCGATGGCGAGGAGAATTTTGACGGAGGTGTGACGGCTGACCGGTGCAAATGCCTGATCGAAGTCGATGCCGTGCCTTTGATCGTATCCGCACATGACCCAACGTGCTTTAAATCGCTCGATTGTGCCGTCCGCTACGGTCTTCACGCGGAAGACCCACTTGCCGGAGAGAATCTTTCTCCCCTTGATTGCGGCGCAATCGACAAGTACCCAGGTGTCGCAGGACTCGAGCGCCCTGATTTTTGCATCCATCGCCTCGCGCCACTCTTTGCTGTGTGGTCCCGTTAGTGCCTGGCGCGGATTCTTGGGCTCGATGACACGTGGCGCCGTTGAGGTGGCGGTGTGGAGCCCTAGCAGTTGCAGTCCTAAGACGATGATGTCGTGGCGATGCTGCGGGATGGCCTCCTGCACGTCATCGTCGTCGCTCTCTGGTTCAGGCAGTGGTGCTGCTGCGCCTCCGCCTCTTCCTCCTGCTCCGCCGACTCCTCCACCTGAGGGGTCGTCGTCGTCGTCGCTGCTGCGGCGATCTCCTCTTGTGAATTCTCCTCTGGTGTCTTTCTTTAGGATGGCTGCAGCGGCTTCATTCTCGGGCGTGGCGTAGCTGTATCCGTCGTTGGCGTAAACGCGATTTGCGTTTGTTCGCTCGTCTTCGCGGAACTAGCCGAGAAAGAGACGTTCGTAGAAGATTACGTCGCGCACCTTTGTGATTTTCTGGCTGATGAGGTCCAGAATGAGCCATGCTTTATATTCGCGGCTGATGCCGAGATGAATCCCCCACAGCGCGCGGCTTGCGAATTTGCCGATGGTTGATGTCGGCGGGCGGTACTGCACCATGCATCCCTACACGCGGAGCATGGATGTGTCGCCCTTCATCCCCATCCACTTCAGATGCAGGGTACAAGTATAGAATGTGAGAGAATAGAATAGACATAAGTGTTGTACCCTCTAAGGATGTGAAAGAATAGACGAAAGAATGATTGAATTAGGAAATGAGAAGGGTACAAGGAGGAAACACATAAGTGTTGTACCCTCTAAGGACTACCCCACTACAGCCTAGACAGACTATAGTAAATATATGTTTAACACACCCCCATAGGCAAAGTGGGGGAGAACAAGGGGTCACAAGACCAGTCAAGAAAGACAAAGCAAACTCAGGGTGGATCACAAAGTCACCACACAGTCTGAGCACAAGCAAAGGGCCAGAAGGCCAGTTCACATGCAGAGTTATATAAAGGAAAGCAAACAATACAGTGAACACAACCTAGCAAGTGTAAGCATGCAGGTATAAGTATATAGAGTACAGTACAAGCAGAGTCAAGAAGTCAACAAGTGAGGCACAGTAGGTACAAGGCCTAACACAGTACAGAAACGCTGATGATCACAAGGCTGAAGTGCCTTGGTGAAAACATCAGCAGTGTTGGCCTGAGAGGCCACGTAAGCAAGACGAAGCTGGCCACGCTGCTGCAACTCTCGAGCAAGGAAGTAACGCAGAGCAATGTGCTTCGTTCTGTGCTCCAGTCTGTGCTCCTGACACAAGGCCAGCATGGCCTTGTTGTCGACGTACAGAACTGGAGGAGAACGAGGCGCCTCTCCCAAGTCGGTCAGCAGGTAGGTGAGCCAGCGAAGCTCCTGTGCAGCCATGGCCCCAGCGTAGATCTCAGCCTCGCAACTGGAGCTGAGAACAGAAGAAGAGCGGGTAGACCGCCAGGAGACAGAACCGGAGCCAAGGCTGAAGGTGTAACCCTGTGACGACCGCTGCGTAGCCAAGTCGTCAACCCAGGAGGCGTCAGCGTGACCAGTGAGGACAACTCGAGCCCGTCCTCCAAGCACGAGCCCCATGCCCGATGTACTGCACAAGTATCGCAACACCCTCTTCGCATCATCCCAGTGCACCTTTCGGTGCCTGCCGGGAGCCACGTAGCGAGCCAGAAGGCTGAGAGGGTATGCGAGGTCAGGTCGTGTGCAAGTCATCGGGTACATGAGGCAGCCCACAAGCTCTGGATACGGGCCACTCGGCTCTACGGACTCGTCCGAAGGTGGAGCTGAGAGCGAGTGACCGGTAGGCAGAGGAGTGGACTGTGGCGAGGAGTACGTGAAGCCGAAGCGCTGAAGGACCTGCTGCACCATGTGTGACTGAGTCAAGGTAATGGTGCGCTGTGCTCTGTCCCGGGTGATCCGCAAGCCAAGATAGCTTGTGAGCTCACCCAGGTCTGTGCACGTGTGTCTCTTCTGCAGCTCGGACTTCACGTGGGCGAGTGCCTCCGTGTCAGCAGTAGCAAAGACAAGGTCGTCTACGTACACAAGAACGTAGAACGGCGGCAGAGTAGCGTCAGTGCGTAGAAACAGAGAAGGGTCAGCAGTGGAAGGAGCAAAACCAAGAGCAGCAAGAGTCGTCCTGAGCGTGTCGTGCCACTCACGGGGCGCCTGGCGGAGACCGTAGACTGGCCGCCGGAGGCTCCACTGGGTACCAGTAGGAAACGACCCAGTGAAGCCAGGTGGGCGGCGCAGCCAGATCTCCTCGTGCAGGCTGCCCTGTAGGAAGGCTGTGCTGAAGTCAAGCGAGTGGACCTCGTAGTCACGCTGAGCAGCAACGTGCAGCAGTACCCGAAGAGTGGTCATCTTCGGGGTAGGGGAGAAGGTCTGAAAGAAGTCAACTCCCTGTCGCTGACTGAAGCCACGTGCAACGTAACGCGCCTTGAAGGCAGGCGGAGAACCCGGCGGCTGCTTCACCCTGAAGATCCACATGCCACTGACGATGTTTGTCCCAGGTGGGGGAACCTCGTCTACGTAGGTGCCTGTGGACTTCCAGGAAGCCATCTCTGCGTCCATGGCTGCCTGCCACTGAGAGGAGTAGGGACCCTCTATCGCCTCTGCGTAAGAGCGCGGGGTCGGGATGTCTAGTGCATCCGGGTCTCCCTCAGGGGCAAGCAGCATGGACACGAGATGAGGTGAAGCAGCAGCAAAACACTCAAGGTCCTCCTGTCTGTCCTCAAGGACGTCCGTGCCAAAAGCACACTCACCCCCGACGGACGGAGGACAGACAGACGCAGACGCAGACTCAGCAACAAGACTAGCAGCGTAGTCTAGGCGACAGGCTGCAACAAAGTCAACAAGCTCAGCAACAAGAGCAGACGCAGCAGAGGACTCAAACAGAGGGTCAGTGACTGCAGTGGCCAGAAAGCGGGTGACAGTAGGACTAGCAGCACGAAGGGAGTCAGACTCCGGGTCCGGACCGTCAGGAAGAGAGGACGCAGGAGGAGAGGGCAGAGGGACACGCTGTGGAGCAGTAGAAGGACGCAGTGTCATAGAGTGAGTGCCTGGGACAGGAGGAAGACGCGGACGCGAAACACGACCAGCGCGAACAGTACGGACAGGCGACGCAGGACGAGACTCAGGCTCACGATGCTCCGTAAGACCTCTAGTCGGACCAGAGTAAGGAGAAGGACCAGGCAGTGGAGAGGCCGGCTGCAACTGCGACAGGCGGTGGACTCAGGACAGGAGGAGGAGGACCAGGAGGAGGCGGGAAGCCAAGAACCTGCTGAAGGAGCGGAACGTAGTACGGCCGCGGCCGCACAGCGCCTCCAGCAGCTCCAGCACCAGCACCACCAGCAACAGCAGCACCTCCAGCAGCTCCAGCACCAGCACCACCTCCAGTAGCACCAGCACCACCAGCAGCTCCAGCAGCTCCAGCACCAGCAGCACCTCCAGCACCTCCAGCACCAGCACCACCTCCAGCAGCACCAGCACCTCCAACAGCTCCAGCAGCTCCAGCACCAGCAGCACCTCCAGCAGCTCCAGCACCAGCACCACCTCCAGCAGCGCCAGCACCTCCAGTAGCTCCAGTAGCACCTCCAGCACCAGCAGCACCTCCAGCAGCTCCAGCACCAGCAGCACCAGCAGCACCCCAGCAGCAACCCGACAGCGCCGAGAGTACCACTCACGAATCCGCTGTGGAGAGAGGGGCTCCCGCCGCGACGGGACACCTAGAGCACCTCCAGACGCAGCACGTGCAGGCTCAGCACCTCCAGACACAGTACCCTCAGGCGCCACACCCCCAGGCTCAGCACGCCCAGTCTCAGCACCCCCAGACTCAGCACCCCCAGACTCAGCACCCCCAGTCCCTGCACCCGCAGGGTCAGCACCCCTAGCAGCACCTGAGTCGACAGCTACCTCGACCGGCTCGGCAGGGTCTACCTGGGACACACCTGAGGGGGCAGGACCCTGGGGGGGGAGGGGGTGTACCAGGGGAGTACTTGGTGCTAGGAAGAGCGACGGGGGGGGGGGGAGAGGCAGTGCGGTAGGGAAAGAGACGGTAGTACGACACCGACTCGTCGAACGTGACGTCCTGAGAGGACAGAACACGACGCGAGGTGGGGTGGTAGAACTGCCACCCGGGTGCGTCAGGAGGGAAGCCAAGGAAGACACAGGGAACGGCACGGGAGGACAGCTTGTCCGCAGTAGTATCGCGGACAAAAGCTCGAGATCCCCAGACACGAAACGCGGACGCATCGCCAACCTTCCCCGTCCACCGCAGAGTAGGTGTGGTCTCCGGCAAGGAGACACGAGGCTGAAGGTTGATCTGATGCGCAGCGTACTGAACCGCGAACGGCCACAGAAAATGGGGAGCAGCCGCATGGATCATGGACGTACGAGCGACATCCATGACCATGCCAATGCGGCGCTCAGCAATCCCATTTTGCTGCGGGGAGGCCGGAAGCGTGAACGTCTGGCGGATGCCCTCCAAACGACAGAAGGCTCTCAGGAGGTCGGAGGAAAACTCCCCGCCTCTGTCTGAGTGCAGACGCAGAACAGGAAGGTCGGAGCCGAAACTCTCACTAAGCTGGCGACGAGCACCGCGGATCCAGTCGATCAACACCTCAGTGACCTCACCCTTGCTGCGCAAGGGGAAGACTGTGGTGTAACGCGAGTAGTCGTCAACGACCAGCAGAAAGTAACGCTCGTGACCCTGTCCACGGACGCGGGCTGGGCCCCACACGTCCATGTGAAGAGTCTGCAGAGGGGCCTCAGTCGGAGGAAACGAGGAGGAGTGAGGAGCGGCGCGCTGCCGGCCCTCGACACAAGGAACACAGGTGGGGGCAGGCCCCGGAGGAAGGGGAGGGAGGGACCTGGGGAGGCCAGAGACAAGAGCACGGGAGGCCATACCTCGAAGACGAGGCAGGGAGGGGTGACCAAGGCGGTGGTGCCAAAGGAGAGTCTCGTGCGCCAGAGGACAACACGAGCAGGGGGCAGACGCAGGACTAGACCTGGACGCAGCAGCAAACACCTGACTGGACACAGCTACCTGACCAGACGTAGGGACCGGAGGAGGCGCAGTAGTCAGTGTGTACAGACTCGACCCTGGCCGACGGGTGAACGTGGCCAGGTGGCGGCCCTTCCGAGAGCAAGTGCAGTGGGTCACACGCTGACCTCCAGGGGTGAACTGGTCAACCCACGCGTCCTGGAGGTCAGCTCCACTCACCAAGTTCGTAGAGAACGAGGGGAGGTGGAGTCCCGACAGCAAGCCCGACGGGGCCGCAGGACACGGTAGAACCGTGGAGGAGTGTGCAAGGACTGGGCCCCCGGAGGGGTCAGCAAGGGAGACCGCAACAGGCCGACGGAGCGGCGTGAGCGTGGTGCTGTCTCTAAAGAAAGAGCGCGAAGCACCAGAGTCAAGTGTGAAGGTGTGAAAGGACTCAAATGGTGTAGTACCAGAGAGAGGAGACGTACCAGCACCTGAAGCAGCAGACGCACTAGCACCTAGAGCAGCAGCCGCACTAGCACCCAGAGCAGCAGCCACAGTGCCCGGGTCGGGCGGGACACGCAGGTAACAGTCACCCTCAGTAATATCAGCAAAATCATACATGGCAGCAAGGATAGCATCAAAGTCTAGATCAAAGATAGGCACATTCTGCAGAAGCAGATCATGCCAACGAGGAAGCTCAACAGCGTCAGGAAACTGGGCACGCCAAGCGTCAGTCAAGCGGCCGAAGCAGCGCTGCGTGGTGTGTGGGAGACCACACACCTCCCCACTCCGAGTGCCGGTGCGAAGAACGTAAGAGCAGGGACCCGCACCCCCAGACCTCCCACACCCAGCGTACCACTCACGAAGCTGCTGAACCGACGGGGTCTCACGGGTGCGCTGCTGCTGCTGGCGCTGGCTGCCACCAAGGCCTCCATGCGGCGTAGCTGCACCGCGACCAGCACCACCTCCTCCGCTACCTCCACCACAGCTGCCGCCACCTCCACCCCCTCCGCTACCGCCGCCACGGCCTCCACTGCCGCCACCGACTCCCCCACTCCCGGTACCACCCCCACCACCACCTCCACCTCCTCCACCGCCCCCACCGCTTCCCCCACCGCCCCCTCCACCACCCCTGCTGCCCTTGCCCTTGCCGGGGCGGCGTCGCCCAGTAGAGGCAGACGCAGCGCCGACCTCCTCAGTGCCAACGAGGTCGACAGCAGCAGCAGAGGCAACAGAGGGGAGAAGGGGGACAGGGGAACACCCCTCAAAGAAGGGGGTGCGACGGTCGCCGCGAGAAGCACCTACAGCTAAGATACTCTTCTCAGCTGCAGCAAGGCGCTCCTCGAGCAAGTCGACACTCAGCGCGGTGGGGCAAAGGGAGAGGAAGTGATCCCTGACTGAGGAGAGAGAGTCAGGGAGGCGGGTGACTAGGTAGTAAAGGGTGATGTACATGGGGGGGGAGTTCGTGGGAAGAAACTCAGTGGGAAGGGCAGCGCGGTAGCGAGCGTCACTAGTGCGGAGGTGAAGGCGGCAACAGTGGCAACAGTGGCAAAGGCGGCAAGGTCAGGAAAGAGGTACGGCAGCATGAGGCGGCTGAGGGCAGCAGTGGTAGGGGAGGAGTAGCGTGCAACTACAGCGTCGTACAGAGCCCTAGCACTCTTGTACTGACTAAAGTGCGCGCGCTCAGTAGACGGCAGGTGATTGCGCACAGCAAGACGAGCAGTAGCATCGCGCGTGAGCCACTGCGAGCGAACAGTACTGTCAGCATCAGCAGCAGGGGCAGTAGAGGCGCCAGACGTGAGATCGAACAGTGAGAGGCCATCCTTGCTATCGCACTGTAGGAAAAGCTGCAGATCATCTAGCCAGACCTCAAAGTCAACAGCACGACCCTCAGCATCAAAGGTAAGAACATTGAGACTAGCCATGACAGGTGCAGCAGCAGGCTAGCAGTAGCAGCAGTGCAACTCGGCAGGGCAGGCTAGGCAGGGCGGCGCGGCTCGGCAGGGCGGCACTCTTACCAGTGGCGAGGCCGGGGCAGGGCCGGGGTAGGTCCGCGAAAGTGCAGGAGCAGGGCAGGGGCAGGGCCGGGGCAGAGCCGGGGCAGGGCCGGGGCAGGGCCGGGGCAGGGTTGGAGCAGGGCCGGGGCAGGGCAGGTGCAGGGCCGGGGCAGAGCCGGGGCAGGGCCGAGGCAGGGCCGGGGCAGGGTCGGAGCAGGGCCGGGGCAGAGCCGGGGCAGGGCCGGGGAAGGGCCGGGGCAGGGCCGGGGCAGGGCAGGTGCAGGGCCGGGGCAGAGCCGGGGCAGGGCCGGTCCAGGGCCGGGGCAGGGTCGGAGCAGGGCCGGGGCAGGGCCGGGGCAGGGCCGGGGCAGGGCCGGGGCAGGGCAGGTGCAGGGCCGGGGCAGAGCCGGGGCAGGGCCGAGGCAGGGCCGGGGCAGGGCCGGGGAAGGGCCGGGGCAGGGCCGGGGCAGGGCAGGTGCAGGGCCGGGGCAGAGCCGGGGCAGGGCCGGGGCAGGGCCGGGGCAGGGTCAGAGCAGGGCCGGGGCAGTGCCGGGGCAGGGCCGGGGCAGGGCCTTACGGGGCCACTAACGGGGCCTGACGGGGCCGTTCGGGGCCTCTAACGGGGCCTGACGGGGCCTTACGGGGCCGTTCGGGGCCTCACGGGGCCTTACTGGGCCTTAAACGGGGCCGTAAACGGGGCCATACGGGGCCTTACTGGGCCTTAAGGGGCCTTACGGGGCCTTAAGGGGCATTACGGGGCCTTACGGGGCCTAAAACGGGGCCTTACGGGGCCTTAAACGGGGCCTTACGGGGCCGTAAACGGGGCCTTACGGGGCCTTACGGGGCCTTACGGGGCCTTACGGGGCCTGAAACGGGGCCTTACGGAGCCTTAAGGGGCCTTAAACGGGGCCTTACGGGGCCTTAAACGGGGCCTTACGGGGCCTTAAACGGGGCCTTACGGGGCCATACGGGGCCTTACGGGGCCTTACGGGGCCTTACGGGGCCTTAAACGGGGCCTTACGGGGCCTTAAACGGGGCCTTACGGGGCCATACGGGGCCTCACGGGGCCTTACGGGGCCTTACGGGGCCATACGGGGCCTTAAACGGGGCCGTAAAGGGGGCCTTAAGGGGCCTTACGGGGCATTCCGGGGCCTTACGGGGCCTTACGGGGCATTCCGGGGCCTTACGGAGCCTTACGGGGCATGAAAACGGGGCCTTACGGGGCCGGCGCTAGCTCTAAGGGCAGGCGCAGGGGCCACTACGGGCCTCGAAAGGGTAGGCGCGACGCGCGCGTCGAGTAGGTACGAAAAATTCAGTGGTGGGCCCTTTAAAAAAAAAAACTCGAAACTAGCTCTATACCATGTGAAAGAATAGACGAAAGAATGATTGAATTAGGAAATGAGAAGGGTACAAGTAGGAAACACATAAGTGTTGTACCCTCTAAGGACTACCCCACTACAGCCTAGACAGACTATAGTAAATATATGTTTGACAACAGGTTCCCGGTGATGGCGGTGGTTGATAGTAGGTTGTGCACCCGCACGACGTGGTGCATCGCAAACGTCCAGTACGTCGAGGGAAGCTTGGACTGCTTCAGCAGCGCTCGCACCTTCGTCATGAGCGTGCGGTTAGTGCGCTCGGCAATGCCCTACTGCTGATGTGCGTAGGGGAGGGAGACATGGTGTTCAATTCCTTTATGTGCCAGGTCGTCATGAACTTCTTTGCTGCGAAACTCCGCCGCTCCGTCTGACTGCCAGATCTTCAATTTCTCTCCGGACTGACATTGCGCGTGCGCCAGCCAAAGGCGGAAGGCCTCGTAAGCTCTGCTGCGGGCCTCCAGGTTCACGACCCACACGTAACGGGTTCCTGCGTTGATGAAGGTGAGCGTGTACGGCTCGTCGTTTGTTGCGCAGTAGCCTACGACAAGGAAATCGCTGTACACTTTCTCCATCTTGGCGTAGCGGTTGGTTCCGGGTTCTAGCAGGGGGAAAGGCTGATGACTCAGCACGGCTTCGGGGCAGACGGTGCAGTTGCGCGGCTGCGTGGTGCTCCTTATTTCGGTGGCGTCGGGGCGCAAGAGTGCGCCAGGCGCAAATACGCCGGCCTCGATGCAGTTCTTCCGTGTCATGCACGAGGGGTGACTGAGGCGCTAGTGCCAGAGGTCATCGTTGGCACGGGATCCATAGGTGCACATGTAACGTGCGTGTGCTGCTGCGGGGTCCTCGTTAGCTACTTGGGCAGGTTCCACTGTTGCTTCTTTAGCTTCTTCTTCTTCATTCGCCGTCGTCAGCATCAGCTCCAAGAATTTCCTGTCAAGAATTACGGAGAGGGGAATGTTGGTGCCGGAAATTGTTCCGGGAAAGAAGGTGGGCTTGCGAGGCTTTGGGTCAGGTCCGTAGGCTGCGCGACGGGGGGTTGAGGGCTCATTCCCCCAGTCGATGGTGTCCCAAGGGTCACGGTGCAGCTGGACGTCAGGTGGGGGTAGCGCAGGTGCAGGTCGGCGCAGGAGACGACCGAGAGGAACAACAGGAGGTTCCGCCTCCTCTTCTTCTTCCCCCCTTTGGTCTTCGCGAGAAGTTCCCCAGCCTCCGCCGGAGGTACCCCAACCGCTCGTTTTGCCGCTAGATGCGGTGCCCCATCCGCCGCCCGAACTTGCCCAGGTGCCGCAGGTGTTGCCGCTAGTTGCGGCGCCCCATCCGCCTGTGTGGCTCATTCCCCATCCGCTGGCGCTTCCCCACCCCGGAGGCGCTCTCTTCCTCAGCGCCCCATTCGCTCCAGGCGAATGTTCTGCGCGATTCGACAAGGCTTCTTTGGCAGAGCTCCTCTACTCTGCATCGCGCCAGCTCCTCTTCCTGTGCGATGGTGAGTTTCTTCTTGGGGTCGGGGTCGCGCCAGTGGGGGTAGATCTTCAGGAAGGCTTCCTTCGTGTAGGGGCGCGGAGTTCCTTCCGCGTCGAAGGTGCCGATGTTTGTACCCCGCAAGATTCCTTGAAGGTGGCGAGATGCAGGTCCGGGGAGGGGATGTTCCTCCGTGCCGTAGATGTTGCACGTCGCGATTTTGAGCTCCATCGTTGACATTCCCTCCCCAGGTGGCGCGAATCGCTCAGCTTCGGCGATCGCCGCGAGTTCGCGACCGGCGATGGCGCTCAACGAAGCAGTCGGCGTGTGGCAATCCCTGCATATGCCATCAGGTCTGGGGTAGTGCAGCGCAACTTCGCGAGGTGCTGATAATGTGGCACCCAGGGTCTCCCATCGGGGTGCTTCCAGTCGGAGTGGTGAATGTGCTCGAAGCTCAGGGGAACGAGGTCGATTAACTCCTTTGAGTCGCCGCTGCAGTCGCGGATATCGAAATCGAGGATGTACACTTTGTTCTCGGAGTGTGCTCGTTCGATCTGCCGGCGCGCCTTCTTCGGCACTGTGTAGTGCAGGAGAATGTCGTGTGTGCGGAGGTCGGTGCAGAGTTCGACTCCGCAATCCATGAGTTGTGCCGCCGAGAGGAGATTAAAGTGCAAGTTCTGGACAATGAGCACATCATTTAGTGTGATGTGCGTGGGGCTTCCCCGTGCTTTGAGCACGACGATTCCTTGCGCGTTTGCGCGCAGGCGGGTATTGTTCGCAACGGTGACGGAAGTGACCGTGGGGGTCGCGACAGCGTTGGAGACAAAACTCT